TTTTTTTTTTTTTTGATTTTATAATAAATTTTGATATTTTTTTACGATTTATATAAATGCTATATAAAAAAACAATTAGTGTATAATACTCCCGGGTATTATACAAATTTTCGCAACTTTTTTTTCAAAGTCCTTATGTATAATACCCGGGTCTTTTAGACCAGATTTATGGGGAGGGTATTATACTATAGGGGTACTTTAGTCAACCGTTTACGGTACTTAATACAGGAAGAAGATCAGCTTGAAGACGTTCCTGTTTATAAACAACTGAGCCAAAAATTTTGCGAACTACTTACAGGTATCTTTAAATTATTATGGCAATTTTATGAAAATTTTATATTAATATATAAAACCATAAAATGCATAATTAGCTTTTAGCGAAAATAAACCTTTAGACCTTAGTGAATGACTTTTTACGTAATCCTCTTACCAATCTAATAAAGAAAAACTCCGAAACTGATAATTTTAACGTCAGAAAATATTTTTAAATAAAAATCTTTTAAATTTTTCATTTATTTTTGAAATTTAATTTACAATATGTGATAAAAAAAAGAAAATAAAGATCTTGAAATAAAAATTAAAAATTTAAGCAAAAGTCCTTAAGATATAAGGAAAAAACATTAAATCAAATATTGAAAGAGGGCAGAAGGTTAATTTCAAAGAAAATAAAGAATACGGGCACAACTCTAATTAAAAATTTTTTAACCGGAATATCATTAATTGAAAGAATTATATGTCATGTGAATGTAATTTTATTGGATCGTCAATATAGATCATCAATATAGATCATCATGTGGGATCGATATTTTGATCAGCCAATCAACGGATTTTTATCTATGCTCTTAATGGCATATTGAAAGACAATATCTCAACGTCTTTTCCAATTCAAAAAAATACCATAAAAACTCATCTATGGTAAATTCTTTATAATTTATATTGTGATATTTTAACTAATATAATATTTTTTATCATATTAAAATTCAAATAAAAGGAAAAGAACAAAATACAAATCAAAAAGGCTTCAACGATTAAAAAGAAGCAAGAAGATAGTGTTATAATGTTCGCATCATAAGCTACATTATTCAAAGATCAGAACTTGAATGTTAAATATCATGATATTCTTCCAAATTTACCATCTCCATATATACAGATACCCATTGGTGAAATTAATGAATTTGATGATTTAGCAGTTAATATTAAAAAAGATGTATGTGTATTTTTGTGAGTTTTTATGATTGTCGTAATATTCAATAATAAAGTATTAATTAGTAGTGAAAGAAAACTTCCAAAAATAAGTATAAAAAAGAGAACTAAGATATGATGCACGATAAACAATTTTTGGTTTATAATCTAATTGATCTTGATATGACTGTTCACATCAGTCCAGCTCGATTATCTATGAAAATTGCTAAAAAAACTCCTGAAGCATCATGCTAATTATCTAACAAGTCTCAACAGCAATCTGCAAAGTCAAAGAAAAAAATACCAGAAAAAAGCATATCTAAAGTCTTAAAGGCTTCAATATCATTTTCAATTGGTTAACCTGATGCAATGATCACAGATTTTCCATTGATATCACCTAAACATACAGGTATGATAATGATATATTATAAGCTTCTTTTTATAACATTTTCTGATCTATCTGAATAGCAATTTACAATGAAAGTATCAAGCGTAAGAAACTGGAAGCTTTTGATGATTCACAAATAAAATGTGAGTTTTTTTTTTAAAATCTATATCACCTTTATTATTAAATGAAATTTTAATTTTTAATCAATATCTACTATTACCAATCCTAGCATTTTATGAATTGCTCTCTTGACCATTAGAATCCTCAGACTCATTATCAAAGGGTACGAATGATTCGTTACCATTATGATCTATTATATTATATTCTAACGGTTCTTCTATTCTATTATCTTCTAATGGTTCTTCTATTCCGTCATCTTCTAATAATTCTTTATATTTAAACTAAAATTTAAATGTAAGTAAAATTGTTAATAGTTAAACCACCTGAATCAACTAATAATTACTTACCCATCTTTGTATAATTGGATTAGAATCCCATTAGTTTATACATTCTTGTACTTTTGAGAACAAAATCTTAACCTGATAATAAGTCAGATCTAAAAACATTAGTGCTACTGTGATACCAAATTTGATGTTGTCTTGATTTTGCAATTCTTCTTTAGTAAATTCTTTTTGTAAAATAGCTTCAATGACAAATGGTGAATCTGGATTATTATTATTCATTTTATTTCAGAGATTGTGTCTTGCTTTTTTAACTCTTTCTGAATTTTTCTAATATCTAACTTTCTCAGGACTAGCAAATTGATTTAATTTGTAAGAAAATAAGTTTAAGAAGATATAAATAGCATCTTTATTTTTTGAACATAAGAACTCCTGTGGTTGCGAAAGTATTCTAATGTTTATATATAAAATATATATAAAAATTATAAATTTGTATTAGTGTGATAATGATATTCATGAATTATAATAAAATATATATAATAGAATGACTAGCATTCCATAAATTGACCTATTCATTTGAAATGATAAGCTCCTACATCTTTTGAGAACAATCCATTTGAACTTGTAATTTGAAAGCTTGTTCAATATCAGAATCTGATGGGTTCTTGTTTACTTAAAATAGTTGATGACATGCCTTTGTCATTGGAGCCTAAAATAAAAGAGTTAATTATTAAATATTATTTTAACAAAAATTTTGATACTAACATCCCACCACATATATTTCGTATCTTTTCTCTTTAAGCGCTGTTTCAGTTTCTCTTCTTGTTGCATTAATTTATTAATCGTGATTAGTGATCCTGATGTTAAAATAGTAAGAATGTTTTGTAAAAGCTTGCGATTTTCAAAGATCTCATATTTTAATTCATAATTGCTTTCTTGTAAAGTATTAATTATTATGCATTGCTTTAGCTGCTCTTCGACTATTTTCTCGAGGATGAATTTAGCATTTGAATTGATTTTAATATCTAGACGCATTATATATACGAATGAATATTACAATACAATATTATATAAATTATAATTATAAAAGTGATATAGATTTTAAAAAAAAAACTCACGTTTTATTTGTGAATCATCAAAAACTTTCAGTTTCTTACGCTTGATACCTTCATTATAAATTGCTATTCAGATAGATCAGAAAATGTTATAAAAAGAAGCTTATAACACATCATTATTATACCTGTATATTTGGGTGATATCAATGGAAAATTTGTGATTATTGTATCAGATTTACCAGTTGAAAATGATATTGAAGCTTTTAAGATTTTAGATACGCTTTTTTCTGGTATTTTTTTCTTTGACTTTGCAGATTGCTGTTGAGACTTATTAGATAATTAGCGTGATACTTCAGGAGTTTTTTCAGCAATTTTCGTAGATAATCGAGCTGGACTGACGTGAACAGCCGTGTTAAGATTAATTAGATCATGAACCAACGATTGTTCATCATACATCATATCTTGGTTCTCTTTTCCATACTTCTTTTTGGAGGTTTTCTTCCACTACCAATTAATACTTTATTATTGAATGTTACGACAATCACAAAAACTCATAAAAATACACATACATCTTTTTTAATATTAACTGCTAAATTATCAAGTTTATTAATTTCACTAATGGGTATCTGTATATATGGAGATGGTAAATTTGGAAGAATATCATGATGTTTGACATTCAAGTCCTGATCTTTGGGTGATGTAGCTTATGATGCGAATATTATAACACTATCTTCTTGCTTCTTCTTAATTGTTGAAGCCTTTTTGGTTTGTATTTCGTTCTTTTCCTTTTATTTGAATTTTAATATGATAAAAAATATTATATTAATTAATATAAATTATAAAGTATTTACCATAAGTGAGTTTTATGATGATTATTTTGAATTGGAAAAGACGCTGAGATATTGTCTTTCACTATACCGTTAAGTATATCTCTAAGGGATGATGTAGCTGAACTACTTAATGTACCAGTAGTATTATTATTTTTTTCTTTCCATGTCTTGAATTTGACGACGCCATGAGAGAAATAATGTTAAGTAACTTAAATGATAAAACTGACGATATTTATAATAATGATCATCAAATAAATCAGTATATATTAATATATAGAAAGAGGTTAAATGAGTTTCTATTGTTTTATGAAACATAATTATAACGATTATCCTGTATTAATAAAAGAATATTTTATTAAGTTAATCATATTATTGATCTATATAAATAAATTATAAGTTAGTATAATAATGCATTATCGTAAATATAATATTTTACATTTAAATTTACCTTTTGCATTACCTTAATGATTATATATTCTTCTTTATTATTCTAATAACAACATTCAATTTTTTTTTCTATATTATTTAGATGATGTTTACTTATCAATATCAACATTATAATAAAACCTTTTCACGTCAAGTTATTTTCCGTAAACACGCTAAATCTCACAAAGGTCAGGCTTATTGGGAAATATTTATCAACCTTTCTGATAATTTTAATGATAGTATAGCCGAGTATTCTAAGAATACCAGTGAAAATAAAAAAAATAATTTCGATGGAATTGATGAAATGATAGTGAATTTTATTGACAATAAACTTTTAGAGTTGTACAATGATATACTTAATATTTTTTTTTTTTTTTTGAAGGATGATGATCGACAAGAGCAAAATATAGAGGTAATGATCAGCAAGAACAAGAAGTTGATGATACTAGTTTTTCAGTTAATGAAGATGAAGCATTGGATTATACTATCGAAGTTGAAGAGTTTGCTTTTGAACATCATGATTATAATCTACATGCCTCTAAACCAAATCAAATATCATCAATCAATGTGAGATCTATTTTGATCCAAAAGCTTTCACAATTTCCAAATGTTGCTTATTCTGAATTTATGAAACTCATATCAACCCATCACCTTTCTGATTCAGCTGGAAATAATATATTGAAGTGGTTTCGCAAGTATCATCTTCAGAAAAATGTCATTTTACCAACAAATATAACACAAGGGCGTGAATTCGTTAATTCAATAAATATTAATCATTTACTTTACCTCAAAATAAAAATACTAACATATGAAGATGAGAAATATTACCTTCATCATCGTTCTATCTTTGATGTTATCAAAGAGCTTTTGTCCAATGCTGATATATTAAAGTACTGTCAATGAGATTTTTTAGCAGAATATAATGTCAATGATGATAGAAATTGTAAACGTGTATATGGAGAATAATGGACTGGATGGAGGTGAGAACGTGCTCAACAAACAATTGAAACTGGATTGAAAAGGTTTTATCAATCATTCTCTATTCTGATGCTACGACATTAGATCATTTTGGCAAAAGTTCTGAGCATCCTATTTATTTATTATTAGGAAATATACTGAATTGGTGAAGGAATAAGTATGATGCTAAAGTATTATTAGGATTTATACCAAAGCTGAAACAATTACATAATCACAAGGATAATAGGAATGGTTTTGCATATGTTAAAAGAATGCTGTATCAACACTGTTTTGATGTCATGATACAACCAATATTTGAAAAATTAGAAAATAATGGTTTGAATATTATTACTAATAATCGAATAATTTGGACATTTCCATTTCTCTCTGAATTTATTGGTGATTTATCTGAAAGTGCGACATTGACTCTAACTTATAATTTTTTATATGTAAGTGTCCTTGTCATATTTGTACCGTAACTATTGATGAATTAAATAATACTGATTTATCACTGTCTCAAATAGAGTTATGAACACCTGATAATATGAGATTTGTTTTGAATCGTAATCTTGATCACGAATATTCTATTCATCTAACACAAAATATTTTTTGGAAATTTCGGTAAGTAATTATATTAATGATTCATATTTTGCTATCATTCTATTTTGAA